ATGAGGTATTTTTCCTGAATACAAAGTGAAAATTTTGTTGGAACAGATGTGGGTGTATTCATGTTCTAAAGTTACTGAGTTAACATATTTAAATTTAATTTTAAATTCCCACTGCCACCTCCAGCTCCTTCTCTTAAGATTACTGAAAATAGATACTTGGGTTAAATTTTGTCTTCCACCGAATTTCTAAAGCCTCTAAGAAACTTTATCTCTATAGTGTTGTGTAACTTTAAACACTTTATTACTAATATTTATAGATTAGTAATTACTAGGTATACCAGTTAATAATGTGTGTTTTTTTTTTCAATAAATGGAATTACACATGTTGATATATATGTGATTTGATATGTATGCTATTTTGTTGCATTGATAATAAGCTTCAAAACTTAATATGTCAAATTTTCTGAAGGTGTTAACATCATAGATATTTTTACACTTAAAAATATCAAATTTCATACCAAAAAAAGAGCATTTGCGGGAAGTTTTAATTTATGCTTTATTTTGAAGAAAAGTGCTGCTGAATACTTTGGGGAGCTTATGGTGAACATTCTCCATTTTAAGATAACTGTGATGCTGTTTTTTTAAAGTGTTTTATAAGTGATGATTTTGATGTGAAAGACAAATAATGTCCAGGTCAACAGAGTTTGAAGACCAACAATTACAAGCATTATTGGATGAAGATGCATGCCAAACTCGAAAACAACTTGCAGAAAAATTAAATGTTGCTCAGCAAACAATTTCCTATCATTTACAAGCAGTAGGAAAGATTTTAAAGGAAGGAAAATGGGTGGCACATCAACTGAACGAAAGACAAATGGAAAACCAAAAAGTCATCAGTAAAATGTTGCTTCAATGGTACAAAAGAAAGTCTTTTTTTGACTGGCGATGAAAAGTGGATTTATTTTGAGAATCCCAAATGCACAAAATCATGGGTCAACCATCAATATCAACTACAAGGCCAAATCACTTTGGAAAGAAGACAATGCTCTGCTTTTGATGGGATCAGGAAGGTGTGGTGTATTATTAGCTTCTAAAACCAGGTGAAACCATTAATACTGATCACTACCGAGAACAAATAATCAATTTGAACCACACTTTGATCTTGAAATGACCAGAATGTGCCAGAAGACACGACAAAGTAATTTTGCTTCATGATGATGCATCATCACACTCTTAAAAACCAGTTAAAGACATATTAAAAGATTATGCTTGGGAAGTATTACCCACCCTCTTTATTCACCAGACCTTGCTCCTTCAGATTACCACTTGTTCTGATCAGTGGCACATGTACTTTCTGAGCAGCATTTCAAAATGTATGAAGAAGTGGAAAATTGGGGCTCTGAATGGTTTGCCTCAAAACAAGAAAAGTTCTATTGGGACCATATCCACAAATTCCTTGAAAGATGGTATTAAGGAGATTTGTTAAGTGAAGCAATGTGCTGAGAGGCCTAGTGTATGTAGATCAAAACGGGGGGAGGGGAATTTAAAAGAAGAGAAGCAGAGAAGTGCAGGGTTAGTGATGGACATTACTTTGAATAAAGCACTTTTGATGTTTCTCTTGAAATTTTCATGTTTTCTTTGATTACAGAATCCACATTATTAACCCCAATACACTTAGTAAAAAGAATACTGCATTATCTTATATTTTATATAGCTGCACAATATACCATGAACAAAATTAACCTAGGGAATTATGCTTTCAGATTTGTGAGGGATTTATTATCCAATCTAGTACATATCTGCCAGGGGCTGTTCAGACTATGCTTGAATACCATTCTAATGATGGGAGAACTCACTTTCTCTCAGTTTATTCTGCCCATGGGAGGCTTCTGATATTTTTTATTTTTATTTTTTATTATTATTTTTTAAATATATTTTATTGATTTTGTACAGATAGGAAGGGAGAGAAATAGAGAGTTAGAAACATCCATGAGAGAGAATCATCGATCAGCTGCCTCTTGCACACCCCCTACTGGGGATATGCCCGCAACCAAGGTACATGCCCTTGACCGGAATCGAACCTGGGACCCTTCAGTCCCCAAGCCGACGCTCTATCCATTGAGCCATACCGGTCCCGGCCTGATATTTTTTTAAAAGTCTTTATTTTAAGCCAAGGTGATTGCTTTCATTTACTAGTTTTAATTTTACCCATGGAAGATATAGTGAATAAAAAGTAAACCTTTTCTTGTGATAGCCCCTCAAATATTTGAAAGCCTAAAAAGTTCTCTCTGACATTTCAGTTTTCCTGACAGAGAGTCCCTGAGTAAGCTATCTGACCATTTACCATTTTGGTCTTTTTCTATGAATCTGTTTGATTGAGTTTGTTTAAATATTTATAAAGGTTGGCACCTATAAGTGAAAGCACTTGTTACTGCATAAGAAAACTGCACTTTGTTTTCTTGGAAGTTCTCATTGTTCTGTTTTATTGCATCTTTATGATTTAAGTTTTCTCCCAACCATTTCACATTTGCCTCACTTGACTTACTATCAACTAAAACACTAGTAGTTGCTCCCCCTTCCATCCCACCCGTCGCAAATACTATTGGTAGGTCATGTATAATGCCTGCCTTATTTTGTAGTTTTTGGTTTTCTTTGTGTTTTTCCCCACCTCCCTTCACCTCCACCCCCCACCCCCAAATACATATGCACACACAAAATTACTCTTCTTTATTGGCAGATCATGTTTTTGCTGGGCTAAGTGCTTATGGAATATAAAATTCGAGGGAATTTGGCATGCTTTCTGAGGTGGTGGGAATGCAGTTTGCCATTCTTTCAGTATTCCTTTGTCCTTACGCATTTTCAAAATCTGACTTTTTTTTGTCTCTTTCTCTGATCTGAAAGATTTCAACCCCCCTTTTCTTTCACACGTTTCCAGAATGCTAGCAGTGTAGAAGAGGGTAAAGTTTAGCTCTTTTAGATATGTATCATTCAAATCACAAGCTTATTATCAGTAGCTGCTAGTTTAGTAAAGTACTTAATGAAAATTCAATCTTGCTTGCTGAGGAGACAGTTTTTAAAAGTAACTAACTCCTTATTATGTGAATGTGATTCTTTTGATTCGGTTTAGACTTTTTTTTTTTTTACATCATTGATTTTGTATATCAGATTATCAATCCTAGATGTTGATATGATGCAGTATTGGCACTTTTAATTAAGACAAATAGAAAAGAGAACACATTTTCCATATTCCTGATACATACCATTTTGGTATATTATTAAATGTTTATAGTTCAGATTACTTTTTACTAGGTTATAATTTGCAAGAACATAGGTACCTTTTTTTTGGTCAACAGTAAAGATAAAAACCCCCAAAATAATTGAAATACAAATAAAATGTTTCTTATAGGACTTAAGAAAAATTGCCTATAGAATGCAGATTTACCTGTTTTGTTGTTAATTGTGAAATTACAAATCTTCTAGTTTATAATTTGCAATCTTAACAAATTTTAAAAGTAGTCTGCCTTTCAGACTATCTCAGGTACTTAAATTTTTTGTGTATACTTGATTTGTTATATAATTGTTGTCATTGTGACTTTTATTGATTCTTGATTTTATTCAGAGTTGTTGAGCAAAGATTGTTTGGGAATTTTGTCTTACTGTTTTTATAAAACTGTAGTCTATAGACCGTAATAATTACGAAAATCACAAAGGTCTTTCTCCAGATTTTTAGCTGCTGACATATTAATCCACTTTGAAAACTAACAGGATGGGAATGGAATAGATTTGGTGTTCAGTTTAGAGAAATGTAAACTGACAGTTACATTATTAGAAAGGCATTATTAAATTGAAAATTCACAACAAACCAGTTTTGAATCAAATTATAGCATTTAGATTTAATGTAGAGACAGAATTCTTTATTAACAACAACTGCAATAAGAACAATATAACACTATGATATAGTATTAGTGATTTCTAGTAAACTGAAGTATGTTTACGTTGATGTCTAGTTAGGTTAATGCTTAGTTGATTGTGTTTAGTCAAGTTACCTAACATGCATAAGTATTGTTTCATGGTTTCTCCAGTAATAGCAGATTGACAGATATAAGTATATCTATAAATACATCATGAAGTTATTATCCCATTTCTTCATGCTTATTTTATCACAGATCTCAGTTTTTTGTGCTCATTATAATTAAATGGGAAAATATTAATTTACCATAAGTTATTTTGTCTGCATTTTAAAAGCGTTGATATAAGTAACTATATTAAAGTAAATTACGAAGAAAAAGTTTTTAAAATCTCTCATGTACCATTGAAATAAGATTTTTCCCCCCTTGTTTTTTATTTAAGTTATAACCCACTTCAAGTATTTGCAAATAGTAGTAATATATCTATGAGAGAAGTTGACTTATGATAAATAACAAGTTACCCTGAAGATGAACTTAGTAGCCCTGTAGGTATTTATCATCTCATAACATTTATCATTCCTTTAGGTCAGGCATTAGGTACAGGTAGTCTAGTTCATCTCCTCTTTATTGATTTTAATGCCACCATTATAAAATCTAAAATTCTATGTATGTTTGGGTCTGTTTCTAGACTTTCCTGTCTGTTTTTAAAATAATATATTGAGTAGTATGTACTTACGTTTTTCTTTATTGTACTCTTCCTGTGTTTTCTTAGCTGCTATTTATCTACTTCTGAGGGGGAAAGCCTTTTGATATTTTTATCATACCATACTAATTATATTAGTTTTTAATGTTTTAAAATTATTTTTACTTTATAATTTATCTTTTTTGATAGTAATAAAGCCTACTGAGTTTTCAGTACATATATTAGTATATATTTCGAAGGATACTGAATAATGACTGTACAAATTATGTAAAGTATATTACTGCAAAGCAGAACTTATATGTTTAGAGTGCCTTCCACGAACCAGGTGTTTTTTATATATGTTAATTCATGTCACTATTAATTATGCCAACTAAGTCCATTTGTAACTGAAATTTGTAGAATATGCAATTATTTATGGCTAAATTTTCTTTAATACTTTTTTTCTTCAGCTGTGATGCAGATCCATCAGCCCTTGCAAAATATGTTCTTGCTTTGGTAAAAAAAGACAAAAGTGAAAAAGAATTAAAGGCATTATGTATTGATCAACTGGATGTATTTCTTCAAAAAGGTAAGATCTTTGTTTTAAAAATACTACTTTATTTTATGTCATTTAAAATAAGATTATCTAGCTGTTCTTGAAAGAAATCTGAGGTGACCTCTGAAAATGGATCCTATTCACTTGATCAGAAGACCTCACAAAACCATGCAAATCAAGAGGTTCAGATCCTCATGTTCACTTTAAGAAGACGTGAAACTGTCCAGGTCATCAAGGGTATGAATATCCTAAAAGCTACCAGGTATCTGTAGGCAGTCACTTTACAGAAGCAATGTGTGCCATTCCATTGTTACAGTATTGGAATTGGTATGTGTGCCCAGGGCAAACAGTGGGCTGAACACAGGATCAGTGGCCTGAAAAGAGGGCTAAATTTTGCTGCACATGCTTAAAAATGCAGAGTAATGCTGAGCTTAAGGGTTTAGATTTAATGTAGATTCTCTGGTCATTGAGCACATCCAAGTGAACAAAGCTTCCAAGATGTGGTGCAGAATTTTCAGAGCTCATGGGCAGATTAACCAATACATTAGTTTTTCCACACTGAGATGATCCTTACTGAAAAAGAGCAGATTATTCCATCCCAGCCAGTGTGGCTCAGTGGTTGAGCATCGATCCATGAACCAAGAGGTCACCAGTTTGATTCCATATTAGAGAACATCTTAGTCTGCTGGCTAGATTCCCAGTATAGTGTGTGTGTATGAGGCCGCTTATTGATGTCTCTCTCATTGATGTTTCTCTCTATCCCTCTCCCTTCCTTTCTCTCTAAAGAATTTCTCTCTAAATTTACTCTTGTGGCCTAGGAGTAAAATGAACATAAAATAAACACTAAAGTATCCACACTATTAAAGGAACTCAGTAAGAGACAGGTTTTAATTGTAACGAAGGAGAAACAATATTGCTGATTTATATCCATAGCTTATTACTGACTATATTCATAGTTTATTTATAAAGAAAGTCTTTTTTTTCTTATTACCATTCTTATGCTTTTTCTTAAATCCTGCTGATATTTTTTTCTTTGAAGATTAAGAAAATGACTGGATGCTTGTTTATTTAAAGACTAGAGGCCTGGTGCACAAAATTTGTGCGGGGGGAGAGGGGGTCCCCTCAGCCTACCCTGCACCCTCTCCAATGCAGGACCCTTTGGGGGATGTCCGGGATCGGGTCTAAACTGGCAGTCAGACATCCCTCTCACAATACTGGACTGCTAGCTCCTAATAGCTCGCCTGTCTGCCTGGTTGCTCCTAACTGGTCACCACTAACTGCCTCTGTGCTCTGGCCTGTTCACCCCTAACTGCTCCCCCCCCCCCGCTAGCCTGGTTGCCCCTAATTGTGTCCCCCCCCTGCTGACCAGGTCACCCTCAACTGCCCCATCCCTGCCAGCCTGGTCACTCCTAACTGCCCCCCACCCCCACTGGCCTGGTTACCTCTTATTGCTCCTCCCTGCTGGCCTGGTCACCCACAACTGCCCCCCTCTGCCAGCCTGGTCACCCCTCAGCTCCTTGTCTCCCACCGGTCTATTCGCCCCCACGCACCCTGCTTTTCAGTAGTTTGGTCTTCCCTCACTAATAGGAGAGTACTTCTTAGGGATCTACTTTAAATGTTTTCTAGTGCAGTGCTGTTTAGCTTTTCCACTTGCCAACATCTAGATGATGGTAGTATTTGTGTTTGCACACTGGTAGGGTACATGGAGACTGGTATGGCTGGAAGTGATTGGCCCAGAAACTCTGGCTGTTCCAGCCCTCATCACCCTGAAAACTGAATATATTGGTGTTACCATGGGACTGTGCCATGGCACACTGGTTAGGGAGGTTTTAAGTGGAGAATAATATCTTAGCAAATGGCTTTTAATATGTGGGAATTTTTGGTTTGTTTTATTTTTAGAGACACAGATATTTGTGGAAAAACTTTTTGATGCTGTGAATACAAAGAGTTACCTACCTCCTCCAGAGCAGCCATCATCAGGAAGCTTAAAAGTGGAATTTTTTCAGCACCAAGAAAAAGATATAAAAAAAGATGAGGTAAGGATTTGTGTTACACCATATACTTTCTTTGAAAACATATAAGGGATAATTAAACTGAGATATATTTTCTGTATCTGTGTTAGGAGTCCTTAAGACCACCTCCAAGTTCAATGATTTCACTAGGAATACTCGCAGGACTCAATCAATCATTCTCACAGTTATGATTTCTAACAGTGAAAGAATACAAAACAAAATCAGCAAAGGGAAAACAGTGTATGGTGCAAAGTCTAGGGGGAAGCAGGTGCAAGCTTTCAGAGTTCTCTCCCAGTGGAGTCACCTAAGATGTGCTTAAGGAGTAGTGACAGTATATGTGAACCTGGGAAGCTTGTTAAAGACTCAGTGTCCAGGACTTTTACTTAGTTTTGGCCACCTGGTACCTTCTGTCTAGTGTGTTCTAGATTCCCATGAGGAAAGTAGGTGTTTGCCATAAACCATATTGCGTACACAGACACTTCAGGCATAAATGAGCTGTTATTATCAGGCAATGATGGGAACCCTTCAGAAATCATAGTTCACAGGTGCCACCCAAGGATCTGTGTTATAAGCAGGCCTTTAATTTTTCTGCATAGTATCTTCTAACTATGGACATTTATTACCTATGTTCTGTGAAAATAATTAGATTGAGAGTTTCTGTTCCACAAGCATTTTGTAGGGAACTATTTTTAAGATAAATAAAATGACATTCACAGGGCAATAGAATTGACTTCATAATTTAAAAGGTTTAATGGAAAACTCCATCTTTTATACATAATTACCATTCTTTAATAATCATTTAATAATTCAGATATCCTCAATTCGATATTTAAGGGTTGTAATTCCATTAAAAAAATGACAATTAAAAATTGCCTTTAACAGTCATTGCTTTGTGACCCTGAAAACATTACTTTTTCAAGTCATAGTTTTCTCAGCTATGAAATGGAAATACTAGGAGGTTGTTGTGAGGACTAGTTAAATAATATCTTGAAAGAACCCAGTATTTATGTGGCACATAGTAGGGTTTTTAGTAAATGGCAATTACAATTAGTATTGAGAGATTGTTGTGTGAAAAATGTGATGGTGACCTTCGGGTTTTTTACCCCTCATAAACCTTTTTTTCCTTCATATTATATAACTAAAACATGCTTATGCAATAATATATATATACATATAAAATGTTACATAATAATTCTTAAATATAATTTTATGCCTCTATACCTAAACATTTTTTTACACATGTATTTGTACATAATTACACAGACAGGCACACATAAAATACCCTGTTAAAGATATTTATCCCTTTCAGAACTGTCAGAATGTCAGGTGGCAATCTAGATAAAAAATGCTGTGGGTGTAGTAAAAGTTCACCATTGATTATGTACTATGGAATATGGTGATCTGTCAACACAAATTACTTACAAGTGTGCATTGAGGCAAATAAAAAGGAAAAAGTGCCTCAGGAGAGTTTTATTTATACCCAGTATTTTTGGAAGGGGAGGGTTGATATGAGTGGCAAGAGAATAAAAGTGTTAATAAGGGGAGGAAAGGAAAGACTGTTATAAAATTTTTAAGCAGTGTCAGAGTTTGGTCTGTTGTTAGAATATCGATGTTTAACTTATCATCCACCTAGAGGCCCATTGCATGAAAATTGTGCACTCGGGAAGGGCTGAGGGTATCCCTCAGCCCAGCCTGTGCCCTTTCACAGTCTGGGAGCTCTTGGGGGATGTCCAAATAACACTCCCCGGGGGGAGTGGGTGTAAGCTGGCAGTCGGACATCCTTATCGCTGCCATGGAGGTGGGAGAGGCTCCCGCTATCACTGCTGGGCTCACCAGCCATGAGCCTGGCTTTTGGCTTAGTGCTCCCCCAGTGGGAGTGCATTGACCACAAGAGGCAGCTCCTGTGTTTAACGTGTGCCCCCTGGTGGTCAGTGCACGTCATAGTGACAGATCATTCTGCCTTTTGGTCGATTTGCGTATTACCCTTTTATTATTTAGGATTGAGAACACTTTTGACAGTGAACGGCTTTCACCCAAAGGGATGCTGGAGCAACTGGCATAAACTAGAACATGTTTATATTATATTATCTGTAGACTACCTACATCGGAGTATCTTAGGGTTCTTGTAAAAGATGCAAATCTTAATGCCTATCATATTTCTAGAAGCCACATGTTCAGTATTTTCTGAATTTATCCTCTAAATCCTTTTCTTTTTAGTAACATCTATTAATGTGCTATGAAAACAGTGTTCTGGGCAGTACAGCATGGAAAATTCTATCCTAAACAAAGTAGCATTGAACAAGGGAATGTTTTTCAGGGCTGCTTTCTATTAATTATACAATGTGAATGAAGGTCTTTTGTAGGAAAGAGGAATATATTGCTGCCATACTACCATGAGAAATTGAAGCATTATTTTATTTTCTCAAATGTTCTATTTTTTTTATGACTTGATTAGTTGTAATGCATGCTCATATATTCCCTAATGTGTTCATTGCCAAACCAAATTTATGAACCAAAACATGAATGTTGGACTTTTGAAAGAGGAATAAAGTTGGATTTTTACTGATAATTTTTAGGTGAGGACACTTGATTAAAATGTTTTCTCTCCACTAATTATTATCTAAGATAAGCATTTATGAGTTTCTTTGGGTTCACTTTAATTTTCAGCATGCCTGTCTTTAGTGATTAAACTAAATGTATTTTATTTAAATGGCAATGTTTCTTTTATATTTTAATATTAGTTAAGTCATTGAAATAGTAACATGGTAAAGAATGACTGTTGCTAAATCTTCTACACTTTTTTTTTTCCTTTTGTCAGATTATAAAAGAGGAAGAACGAGAGAAGAAGTTTTCCAGAAGGCTAAATCACAGTCCTCCCCAGTCAAGCTCCCGATATAGAGAAAATAGGTGATTAATTCATTGAACCATATTTGGTGATTAGACATTGGTTATCTTTTACACAGCTGTTTAGACTTGATTATCTTTTACATGGGGGCAAGTACTGTCTATTTTGTTACTGGTTTAAGAAAGTGTAACTCAGTCCTTTTCTACCATTTATTAGTTATTCTTATTTTTATTCTTCAAGTTTCAGTGAAATCTTTTTTTCTTTTTATTGATTTTAGAGAGGAAGGAAGAGGGGGAGAGAGAAATATCAATGATGAGAGAGAATCACTGATTGGCTGCCTCCTGCATGCCCCCTACTGGGGATTGAGCCTGCAACCTGGGCATGTGCCCTTTACCGGAATTGAACCGGGGACCCTTCAGTCCACAGGCTGACGCTCTATCCACTGAGCCAAACCAGCGAGGGCTCCAGTGAAATCTTTTTTTTTTTTTTTTTTTTTTTTAATATATCTTACTGATTTTTCACAGAGAGGAAGGGAGAGAGATAGAGAGTTAGAAATATGGGTGAGAGAGAAACATCGACTAGCTGCCTCTTGCACACCCCCTACTGGGGATGTGCCTGCAACCAAGTTACATGCCCTTGACTGGAATCAAACCTGGGACCTTTCAGTCGCAGGCAGACGCTCTATCTACTGAGCCAAACCTGTTTCGGCTCCAGTGAAATCTTAATGAGACCTTTTCTTGCCTGAAGTTTCCCTTTAATAAGAATTTATGATTTTTTTTTTTTTTCAGTAAGGCTTCAAAGCATTTATAATGCAGTGCATGTGATACATGCCTATGAGATAAGATATAAGTGTTTATATGTATAAGTATACATATTTACAGATACTATGTACTATAAGACATATGTATAGATACCTAAATGTATATATGCCTTTTTATGTAAGACTAAGAATTGAGATTTTTTCTTAAAGGAGTTTTAGAGTACTTGTTCTGCAGATCATATTCAATTTTTTATTGTTCGAGTTATTTATTGTTTCATTTTCCTATGTTTGTATTTTGATGGTACAATAAATAATCATGATATTATAAGAATTAAATATGACTGTTGCATTTAGAGTTTTCCCTGTATCTACTTAAAAGTTATTTACATGAAAATGATCATATATTTCCTTAGAAGTCGTGATGAGAGGAAAAAGGATGATCGTTCTCGCAAAAGAGATTATGATCGAAACCCTCCTCGAAGAGATTCATACAGAGACCGGTACAACAGAAGACGAGGGCGAAGTCGCAGTTACAGCAGGAGTCGGAGTCGAAGTTGGAGTAAAGAGAGGCTTCGTGACAGGGATAGGGATAGAAGCAGGACCAGAAGCAGGAGCAGAACACGAAGCAGGGGTAAATCATAGGCGTAAATTTTCGTTGGTATTCTCTTACTGGGAAAATACTTCTTATTTAAGGGCCATAAAACTTGTATTAATTATATGTCACTTATGCTTCAAAACTCTGAAAACAGTTAAAAGTTTTCATTTCAGATGTGTGTAATTGCAAGACCATGTCATTTCCAAGATGTATAATTTTTCTTACAATGTGCATTCAACAGGAGATATTATGACCAATAAAACAAACATCTTTGAGTAAAACACTTTTACTTAAGCTTTGATATTAGCTACCCTTGCAAACTTTATTGTTTAGCCATCTTTATTAAGTCTAGGAAATGATTTTGTAGCCTTTGTATAAACCCTGCACTTCTCTGTTTCTCTTCTTTTAGAGTTTTCCCCCCTTTGATCTACATATACTAGGGCTCTTGGCACATTGCTTCACTTAACGAATCTCCTTAATACCTTTTCTTTTTCCTGGGGTCCATAAACGGCCCAGTTAATTTCTTTGTTTATGTTTAATATGCATTCCATTTTCTTTCTCTGCTCATCCATTCTCATTGTCAAATGGTGTTCACTGTAAAAAGGCATGTTAAGATTTTTAGAAGGATAACAAATATTCATTGCAGAAAAAATAACCATATTTTATTACATAATTTGTTTTTTTGGGGGGGCTGAAATTATGCATACTAATATTACAGTGAAGAAAAATTAAAAATCTATTTTCTGTAAATAGAACTTCAAGAAATTTTAAACTCATTAAGTACAGCAAGTTTATGTGTGGTTTTATAGTTTAGGTCACATTGAAAATAAATAGTTTTTCTTGGGACATGGTATATTCATTGCTAGTTTTCAAAAGTAAAAGAGGATTATCTAAAATTGGAACATTTTCTGTTTAGTGAAAATAATACAATTTCTGCATCTGGGATCTGGTTTAAAAAAAAATAGTTTTATAAGTCATTTATATTTTGTTGCAGAAAGAGATCTGGTAAAACCTAAATATGACCTGGATAGAGCAGATCCACTAGAAAACAATTATACTCCAGTTTCTTCGGTACCTAACATTTCATCCGGTCACTACCCTGTACCTACTTTGAGCAGCACCATAACAGTAATTGCTCCTACACATCATGGTAATAACACTACCGAAAGTTGGTCTGAATTTCATGAAGACCAAGTGGACCATAACTCATATGTCAGACCACCAATGCCAAAAAAGCGGTGTAGAGACTATGATGGTAAGTAAGCCTTTCAACTGTTTCATGACATACTGAATTAATATATCCAACTGACTAAATTCTGTAAGTTTAGGTTACATACAATTATCCAAAGACTTAACCTATTGGAAATAGTGGGAAATTAATGTTAAGCATTCATGAATTTCTCAGTCCTATTGAAAACCTCATTAATCACTACCGACTATTGAATACCAGTTTAAATATATTATTTGTTTGCATGTAAGTCTTAAAGATATATTTGGAATTCATCAAACAAGATTAATATTTATAGAGTTACTTTTGAGGGAATGTGCTACTGAAACATTTTCATCAGAGTTTACATTTTTAAAAATGAATGGTTATTGTCATGTGAATATCACCTATATAAGAATTTATAAATGAAGACTTTTAAAGTTTTATTGTAAAAGTTTTATAAACTTATGAAAGCTATAGTTGCAGTGTTTATAAAGTTTTGTGTGAGATTTAAATACAGGAAGTATTTCTAATGACAAATATATACGTTTTATACCATCTTACTAGTTAAATATACTCACTTTAATTTGGTGATATATTTTCTATTGTGTGTGTTATTTTTATTATGACTTAATAAGTATTTTTAAATTACTGGAATTAGTAGGGTAGCTCTTGTGATATGGTTAATTATACTTGCCCTATATTAAAAAATATTCTGTTTTTAAATATATTACTTTTGTTAACTCATATGTCAGACCACCAGTACCAGCACTCTTAATATTTCTCTTTTTCCTCACAGAAAAGGGTTTCTGTATGAGAGGAGACATGTGCCCTTTTGATCATGGAAGTGACCCAGTAGTTGTAGAAGATGTGAATCTTCCAGGCATGCTGCCTTTCCCAGCACAGCCTCCTGTTGTTGAAGGACCACCTCCTCCTGGACTCCCCCCACCTCCACCAATTCTTACACCCCCACCTGTGAATCTGAGACCCCCAGTGCCACCACCAGGCCCATTACCACCCAGTCTACCACCTGTCACAGGTAAGTAAATATGTTTGTCTGTACTTGTAATCTTTTAAAAAAGTTAATAGTTTGATGCTTGCTTTTATTAAAAGTATCTAAAGTAATTTTGTAGATGCTGGGAAACTAAAAGCAAGATATCCCCATTTAAACTATATACCTACTTTGCTTGACTATGCCAAACCTGTGATTTACTATGGTTTGAAGTAGCTCTGAATTATGCACAATCCCTGATAAATCACAGCTGCCTGTAATATTTTATAGCTTAAGAGAAACCTGTTTTAGAAAACATTAAAAGGCTATTTACCCTAGAAAACTAAAATAGTTGTAAGAGCTTCATGTTTGTAGATATTATAGTTTGATGAATGAAAATATCATGTTTGGATGTACAAATAACTTATTTTATTTGTTTGCTTTCAGATGATATTTCTTATTCTTTGGTTTTGACAGGACCACCACCTCCACTTCCTCCTTTGCAGCCATCTGGCATGGATGCTCCCCCAAACTCTGCAACCAGTTCTGTTCCTACTGTAGTAACAACTGGCATTCATCACCAGCCTCCTCCTGCTCCACCCTCTCTTTTTACTGCAGGTGCAGTTTTGGCCCTCTCTATATTTATGAATATAGCTTTAGATAAGGAATTTTTAAATGTTTAGAGAGCGAATTACTCTAGCAAAGTGGTCGGCAAACCGCGGCTCACAAGCTACATGCGGCTCTTTGGTCCCTTGAGGTTGGCTCGTCCACAAAATACCAAGTGCAGGCACACACGAACAGTGCGATTGAAACTTCATGGCCCATGCGCAGAAGTCAGTTTTTGGTTCTCACAAGAAATTTCAGTATTTGTACTGTTGATATTTGGCTCTGTTGACTAATGAGTTTGCCGACCACTGCTCTAGCAGGTCTTATTTTTCTCACTATAATTATATAAAATAAAAATGTAGACAAGTTGAATGTACATTAAATGTAAGTCTTTAGTTATGTTTTTAAAAACTTACATTTTCTTTAAATAGCATTTTTATTTTTATAAAACGAAATTTTCTTTTTAATACTTATGAAATATGTTAGCTTTTTATTAATAACATTATAGTTTACTTTTTCTGTTATCAATATAGAAAAATTATAAAATAGAGTTTTACAATTGTTTTTTAATTACAGTTTTTGTATTACCAGATACATATGACACAGATGGCTACAATCCTGAGGCCCCAAGCATAACAAACACTTCCAGACCTATGTATAGACACAGAGTGCATGCACAAAGGCCTAACTTGATAGGACTGACATCAGGGGATATGGATTTGCCACCCAGAGGTACTATGATTAATCTTTTTTTTTTTTAAATAATTTTCGTAATATCAAGCATGACAAACATTTATAAAGAACAATTGGTCCTGTATTTATAGGTTGAATAAAGGATAATGTTTATGTTTTTTCTTCAACCTTTGGTCTTCCATGAGAGAAAAGGTAATAATGTAGTTCTCTATTTATGGTGCTTCCAAGAGGAAAAAAGTTTTACAAAAGTATATATTTTCTAATGTAGCTTTTGTTGGGTATTTTCTATCATTTGCAGTCTTAACAGGTTTATTTATACTCTTTAGAGTAATGCTTTAATTCCTAACGATAGATTCTGTCACAGTTAATAATGAAATTTGCTGTACAAATTGTACTTGATGTAAATTTTACTTTTGATGTTAGAAATTGAAATTGGTTTTCTTATAAAGTTTTAAGCAAAAGGAATTATATTTTAGGAAGTGACTAGCTTTTAAAATTTTTCTTAGAGGAGACAGATTTTTTTTTTTTTAAAGTATATTTTATTGATTTTTTTTACAGAGAGGAGGAGAAAGGGATAGAGAGCTAGAATCATCAATGAGAGAGGAAAAACATCAACCAGCTGCCTCTTGCACACCCCCTACTGGGGATGTGCCCGCAACCAATGTACATGCCCTTGACCGGAATCGAACCTGGGATCTTTAAGTCCGCAGACCAACGAGGAGACAGATTTTTTTGATAAAATTTCTAAATGACAGAAGATAGAGTTTAGACTGACACAGTCACAAGCTGAGGCAGTAAGATTCCTGTTCTAGAGGCACAGATGGATATGAAGAGTTAGAGGAGGTGTAGAGCTTACATTAATTTGAAAGATTTGCTATGGATAATTAATACAGGGAAGTGAAGGATCGTTAGACTTAATAGGAAATATTATGTATGCCAATAAAAGTCTTTCCCCCTATTTCAACTAGTTTTTAAATGCTATTTTCTTTCCATCTTTCCCCAATATCTTTTTTTTTTTCTAGCATGTCATGCCTCATCAAGTGTGAATAAACTCCAACTTAATTAACAGTCAATAACTATTGTGGTTTAGTAAATTTGTGATTATTTATACTTTGATTTATTTTGTTGTTGTGTACTGAAAACTCAGATCCTGAGCATCTAGGTACCTTGAGTATTCAAAGACCTTTTTGTGATGAAGATGCGAAGATCGTTTTAATATTTACCCAATTTAAATTGAGATCACAGGACAACATTTCATTTTGATGCCCACCTTTTAAATTCTTGCAGCATTCCAATGACTCATTTACAAAAACAACAGAACAAAAGATTATTTTAGTTTTGCAAAAAAAGTTTTTTTTTAACCATTTCTTGTAATTGAAAAGTAGCACTTGTGGCTGTTTATCCCCCAAGTCTCTTCTACCTGGCCAGTTCAGAGAAAACTTTGTTAGGTGACTATTTAGTACTTATTTTCTTTTTATCATGTACATATTACTTGCTCTTGCTAGAATTCCAACATCAAGTCATCTCTTATCTTGCTCTTTTGGAGTGGCATACCTACACGCTGCTACGGATCAGTATTTATTAGGCCCATTCCAATGCCAGGTCAATTTTTTGTTGGTAATGAGAGAAAGAAGAGGGATCAAACATCTTACATATAAATTTTAACCATGTAGAAGTTGGAGTGTTGGTAATTTCAGCTCCACATGCATGTAAGTTACAAAAATGGATTTATTTAGAGATAAATCTCTGATGTACCTAGAAATTTGAACGCCTTTTCTCTTGAAATCATACATAGTAGTGATTGCTTTAATACTGTTCTTTATTTATTTAATTAAAAATTTTTTTTAAAAAAATATATTTTATTGATTTTGTACAGAGAGGAAGGGAGAGAGATAGTCAGAAACATCGATGAGAGAGAGTCATCGATCAGTTGCCTCTTGCACACCCCCCACTGGAGATGTGCCCGCAACCAAGGTATACGCCCTTGACCAGAATCGAACCCGGGACCCTTCAATCCCCAAGCCGACGCTCTATCCATTGAGCCAAACCAGTCCCGGCTAATACTGTTCTTTAGAAACATCATGTACTATTTCTGTGATCTGGTTTAGGAATATATTCTTTATTAATAACATTGTTTTTATGCATCACAAAACTGATTTAGCAACCCATTTATATTGAGCATTACCTATACTTCTATTTCCTTTCTTTGGTCCCTCAACCCCCAAAATCTTTTCATCTGTTGCTTGTTTAGTTTAAAACTTAATGTCCTGGATTGTGATAGATAATTAAAAGCCTATTATACTATTTATTATATAATTATTATATATTTCTAATAGCCTATAGATGGCCTTAATTTAAATTTGTCTAAGACTATTGTGTGATAATCATATTTTTATGCTTCATACTTTAAATTTACAATGAGAAAAATGTAGGTACTTTGATGCCTTAGAATTCTGAATATTAATGTAACTTGGAGTCCTTGATAATTGTTTATTCCATATTGCTAAGGAGGTGGGAAATTTGATAGATGCTCCTTGATTAAATATAGGTAGGAAGAAGGGCTAAGTTTTCATTTGCTGTCAACAAAACCAGTGTTGAAAATTTTAAGCAGAAAAATAATTTACTAAAATGGATATTGGGGTAAAACACAGTACATATAGGTAATATGCACATTTGATAATTGTATACCCAGAAGAACTAGCTCCTTTTTTTTTTTTTTAATACATTTTATTGATTTTTTTACAGAGAGGAAGAGAGAGGGATAGAGAGTCAGAAACATCGATGAGTGAGAGTCATCGATCAGCTGCCTCTTGCACAACCCCCACCAGGTAGGTGCCCGCAACCAAGGTACATGCCCTTTACTGGAATTGAACCCAGGACCTTTCAGTCCACAGGCTGGCACTCTATCCACTGAGCCAAACCGGCTTTGGCTAGCTGCTGCTGCTGCTGCTGCTTCTTCTTTTTTTTTTTTTTAACTCTCTTTTTAAAATAAATAACAAAAATATGAGTGAGAGGATACAGATGAATTGGAACAGACACATGACATATACTGAGGAAAAACACATCATTGCCTTTAGTGAACCTTTAGGTGAATAACATATTAAAGGGAAAAAAAAATATTGGATAGCTCAAGACCTCTCCAAAAGGGCCAGTGAACCAGGCTTGTGAGGCAGGAATAAGGCCAAAAATCCCTTAGCAGGACTGATGCTGGGAAGATACACTGGCCAAAGAAACTGCAGCTTGCACTGTGAACATCACCCATGCTAGATACTGGATATTTCTACCTAATCTGCTGTAGACATGTAGGCTAAGTCAAAGATAGTCAATGAAAGGGTCTAGATAAATTATACACCCTAAACTACCTTTTAGAACCAGGAAGAATTTTGTGACAAGAGACAGAGAAACATTCATTGATTGCCTCTTTTATGCACCCTGACTAGGGATTGAATCTGCAACTTATGTATGTACCCTGATCAGGAATTAACCTGAAACCTTTTGGTCTACTGGATGATGCTCCAGTCAACTGAACAGTCTGGCCAGGGCCAGAGTCATATTTTAATTAGACATGTGAGAATTACTAATTTTTCTGTGGTTAGGTTAAAGTGAATTAGAAATAAATTAAAATATCTTAGATTACTACTATATTTGAATGTACATTTATTTCTATTTCTTCTAAAATATATATTTGGACAAAGAGCCAGAACTTTGTTTTCAATATGAATTTAAGGAAGTGTAGCTATGATAAACAGAAAATATTAATTTTTTTCTTTTATTTTTCTTTTCAAACAGAAAAACCTCCTAATAAAAGCAGTATGAGGATAGTAGTGGATTCAGAGTCAAGGAAAAGAACGATTGGTTCTGGGGAGCCTGGAATTACTACAAAGAAGACTTGGTTTGATAAGTAAGCTGTCAGGGAAAATTTAAGAATTTTTTTACACAGTTATTTTCAGGGTAATTGGAGTATTAGGACAGTATAGTATTATTTTCCAAAATAAAATTTATATAATTTTGTTCTTTAGGCATTACCCCACTAAGATGTAAATTTTCTAAAAATGTGTTAGTTGTCTGCTATGTGGAAGGCATTTGCATATAGACATGGTATAGTGGTTAAGGACAAAATTTTTCCACCTCCCCACCTATAAAATACTCCTTATGTTAGCGATATCATTGAATGTTCTATCTAATGAAAGGGTAATATGCAAATTTACCGTCACTCCAACACAAGATGGCTGCCCCCATGTGGTCAAAAGATGGCTGCCACAAGATGGCCAGCAGGGGAGGGCAGTTTGGAGGGATCAGGTTGGCAAGGGAGGGCAGTTGTAGGCAATCAGGCCAGCAGGGGAAGGCAGTTGGGAGGGACCAGGCCTGTAAGAGAGGGCAGTTTGGGACGATCAAGCCTGCAGTGGAAGGCAGTTAGGGGTGATCAGGCTGGCAGGCAGAAGCAGTTAGGGGCAGTCAGGAAGGCAGGCAGGTGAGCAGTTGGGAGCCAGCAGTCCTGGATTGTGAGAGGGATATTTAACTGCCTGTTTAGGCTCGATCCTACCTGGATAGCCTAAATGGGCAGTTCGATATCCCTCAAGGAGACCCAGATTGGAGAAGGTGAAGGCTGGGCTGAGAGGCACCCTCCACTCCGTGCATGAATTTCATGCACCAGGCCTCTAGTTACTCATATAGAGGATTGTCATGAGCTTGTTATTAGGGAAGAAAGTGTGGATCATGTCTGAGAAGGGACATTAGTCTGGGTGCAGTTGGTGTTAAGAACTAGAAAGGGATTTTGGGTGGGGGCTTGGCAGTGGGCACTAGGGGGATGGCTGGATAGGGACTGAAGTTGTAAAGGGGCTTCAGTGAAAGAGGTAAGGAATCAGAATGTTGGGGTGTTTATGATGATTCATTTATAAACTTTCATGTTTGAGGAGAGACTAAGATCACACATTTTTTAGAGCTTTGTAACATCACTTAAAGGTGGATAATTTCTAGTTCTGCTTCTGGCTTTAATTCTGTGATGTAAGGCAAGCATTGTTACCTCTCAAGCCATTGTTTTATCCTTTTTTTTCCAAGTGTCAAATGTGTGGTCTATAGTTCTGAATTTTTTTTTTTTTTTTTAAGGTTGAGAAGCAGGTGAGACAGTCATCCTTACCTTCTTAATCAAGGTTTTAAAATAGGATACATTTCAGTAAGCTAGCTTTTGCAGAAATGGAACAAAGATTATATATGCAAATTGACTGAAATGGGGTGCTAGGACCTTTCCTTATAAGAATTTTACGTAGGAGTAGATTGAAAATGTCAAATACAGGTGATATGAAAGAGCCTTTCTCAGTTGGCTTCCATGAAAAGATGCGAACATGTAGTAATTTGGAGACTTCACTTTTTATTTTAAAAAAATATGTAAATGTTCATGATTAACCAGTAATTTCAGTTTTAAAAAATAGAACTTAAATAATAAAATGTTATTTCTTTGTACTTGATAATGGATAGGATATATAAATGAATGTATTAATTAACTTGATTTTTGTTACAGACCAAATTTTAATAGAACAAACAGCCCAGGCTTCCAGAAAAAGGTTCAGTTTGGAAATGAAAACACCAAACTTGAACTTAGAAAAGTTCCACCAGAATTAAATAATATCAGCAAACTTAATGAGCATTTTAGTCGATTTGGAACTTTGGTTAACTTACAGGTAAGAGCTCTGAAGTGATTATGTTGTCTTTGCTTAATTATTTAGGGAGATAACAAGTCATTACAACAAGATGCTTTAGTTAGATTATTTTTGCTGCCTCTGAGATGGGATACATTTAACAGATGGGGCCCAGATACCATGTAATCCATAATTAGCTGAAACATTTGCTTTTTTCTGTACCATTTTTGAATATTTTTCAAGGTAAATATCAGTGTAGTTTGTATTTGACTTCACCCAAAGTTAGACCTTGGCTTTGGTGGCTATAACTTGTAAGTTTATTTAGTATTGAACTTACATTATGTAATATGTAAAAGTGTTGAAATAATAGTGCGCTTTCTTTTTTCAGTTTTTTTTAATCAAAATTATTTGTCATCAACTCTTAAAAATAATAAATTTTAGAGAGTACAGCTTAAGTTGATTAATTTGAAAAATTTTGTTTTATTGCCATTTAAAATAATATAAAAGTAATAGATGAAAATTGCATGCTTGATTGGGGCAGGGCAATAAAAATTTATATAGAATTTTAAAAAAATGTTTCTATGTCAATTACTTGTGTCCCTTACATTTCTCTTCCTATATATCTCAAAATATAGTTATATCATTGTTAACAATTTACCATGCATTATTCTAGATTTTTTTGTTTTGCATTTCTATATCTATTGGCTGATCAGTCAATCAAAGCACACCCTTAAAAATGTAAAATTTAAAAGATATGGACCCATCTTTACACATTGCCCTATAGTTATTTGTGAATATCTTTTTATGGCTATTTAATTAATCTGTCACATTTAGATTTATACAAAAAAGTTTCTGGAATATTTTTCTCACACAACTACACTGGTAATATTAAATTTAAGAGAATTTTCAAAACCAAAAGAACAAAAAATTGGAAATGAAAAGCCTTCAATCTACTACTTACTAATATGAGTCTGAAGAATCATATGCTCTTTGAATTCAGTTCACTTATGTGTAAAATTTATTTTTTTCTTAAATTTTCTTGCACTCTTTTTTTGTTTGTTTTGTTAACCCTTGCCCGAGATATTTTTCCATTGATTTTTAGAGAGAGTGGAAGAGAGGGAGGAAGACACAGAGAGAGAAACATTTATGTGAGAGAGACATATTGATTGGTTGCCTCTTGCATTCTCTGGAGTGAAAGAAGATTATGGTAATAGTTTAGATTTAAAGAAATGTAAAGATAGAATCTTACAATATTTTATTTGTTGAGGAATTTTACTGTATGAAGAAAACAGATTCATTTGGAAATTCACTGTTCTTAATATTTGATACCTTAGGTTGCCTATAATGGTGATCCTGAAGGTGCCCTTATCCAATTTGCAACATATGAAGAAGCAAAGAAAGCAATATCTAGTACAGAAGCAGTTCTAAACAATCGCTTTATTAAGGTTTATTGGCACAGAGAAGGAGGCACCCAGCAATTACAAACTACTTCTCCAAAGGTAAGAGAAATTTATGTGAAATTAAATGCTCACAGAAAGCGCTTAGAAAGCATACGGTAGTTTTTAAGAGCAGAGGCATTGCAGTCAGGTAGATTTTTTGAGTTTAGATCCTGCCTCAACCACTTTTAAATATATAGACTCAAGGAAATTATTTAATCTCTCTTCTTTCATTTTATTATGAAAGTTAAGCCCTAGTTTATTAGACAATTACAAGATATGTGTAAAATATATAGAAAAAAGTCTCAGGTATATCAGACACTTAGCACATAATAGCTTTACATATTACACAAAGACACATTATGGGTTCATTTTGGAAATCCTTTTTTCCCTTCCTTTCTCCCTCTCTTTCTCCTTTCCTCCATCTCACTTTCAATTAGTGAATCAGTCAATATGTAATTTTAGATTAATTGCTTATAGAGGTGTCTTATAGCAGATTGTTTCTTTAACTTTTGTATACTGTTCATTAAAATAAAAGAAAGAAGGTATTGAAGTATAGATTTTAATTTTTTCTCTATTTATAAATAAGTTTTTATGTGCAAAGGAAAAAGTGAAGAAATTTGGAAGGTGGCTAGGTTTTGATTACAAGCTGCACTCTTAAGACTCTCTCTGCATGGGCAATTTAGTAACAAAATAACAAAGGTTATTTTTGATGCTCGTGAACATTTAACTTTTTTTTTCTTGTTCTGAGGTAATGCAGCCTTTAGTCCAGCAGCCCATTTTGCCTGTTGTGAAGCAGTCCGTCAAAGAGCGGTTGGGTCCAGTACCTACAAGTACCATTGAACCAACAGAAGCCCAGAGTGCCAGTGCAGACCTTCCTCAGGTAAGTGAAAAGTCGTTTTATTGTGTCTGTCGCATAGTATGTTCTGAGTAAATTAGTTTCCCTTGGTGATTTGAATTATAGTTAACTATATTTTATATAGAAATGGGATAGTCTATACATATTTTTGTTACTATTATAACATTTTCACATTCTACTTTTTCTATACTATTTGAATATTAAATTCTCTCTAGTTAATACTTATTTATAAGAAAGAGCTCTCACTTTGTGGAGGAGTTATTTTTCTAGCAAATCTGCCTGAAAAGTGTGAAGTTCAGTGTACTAAATCTTATTTTTCCCATCATCTTTGACTTAACTAGAATTCTATTTCAGAAATAATTATACAGTAGCCTGAACTGAAAGCTATTGGGACAGGAAGGCTTAAACCATCAGGTTGTAACATGCTTAATATACTGATTCAAGTTACTTATTACACTCGCAGAACTTTGTATCACTTATTCCTGACTCTTGGATTTTCTTTTCCATATGTCATTCCCTTCCCACTCCCTTCCATACTTGAGTGGCAGTTTCTTATTTCTATACCTTCAGTCTCTAAAACTTAGCTTTTCTTTGTCTCCAGATGTTTCAGCATTTGTATAAAATAAAGTTAGGATATACTATCCTAGTTAGCTAATGGATAACACCTTATTCCAGTAGTCTTCCTGAAAAGTAATATATTAAGATTCTCTTTAAAAAGTAATAGATTGAGATTTTGTTAAACATACAGAATGTAAATTGGAAAATTATTAGTTACTTAATAAACCCCACCCAATCCTATTCTAAATCATCAGCAAATGTAATGTATTTGGCTATAAAATAAAACTTACTTTAGAAAAGAATTATTTTTATTTTTAAGCTCAGTAAGCAGGTACATCTTTACTTACTCAAACCTAATATTTACAATGTTCAAACTTTCTATTGGTCAACATAGGATTTTAAGTATCTATGGTTCTGAATCATTGGAGGGGACTTTAACAATCACCTGGCTTAGACATCTTATTTTACATCACAGTTTTTCATGATAACTATTACATACTGTTACTTTTTCCATACACATTTTCTTTCTGTCTCTCTTTGAAAAAAGATCCAAGTTTTGTGATTAACATCAGTATACTTACAAAGTCAGTATATGCTAGTAGAATCAGAATGTTCATAATCCCATCAGACATATATGTTTAGGGAAACACTGAATATGTCCATTTTAATTTTTTTAGAATGTAACTAAATTATCTGTGAAGGACAGGTTGGGTTTTGTATCAAAGCCATCTGTTTCAGCAACTGAAAAGGTAAGAAGCAGCATGATGTGTTTGTCTTGGCTTCATAAATGTTTTCAGATGGCATCTTAATTTTTTAATTTTTTTCATAGTTTCAGACTTTTGCTTCTTAATAGTATTTGTATCTCTATTCCTACCATTTTGCTTTCCATTTGCTGAAAAGAAAAATATTTGCTTACCTTTTTTTTACTTTTTGCATCAGCATTTTAATACTTGCTCATTATAGATTCCATGTGCTTCATTCTTTCTTTTTCTTTGTATTTACTATATTTTCTTTAGGGATATTTTTTACATTTTATTTTGAAAACTCTAGCAGTCTAAAAGAAAGGGCCATAAACTAGGAATTATACTTGAGTGTGAGCTTTGACTCTCTATTTACTAACTGCATGATATTGGGCAGAGCTGTTAATCTTTATGAACCTTTTTCTTCATCATAAAATGGTGATGGTAATATTTATATTGCTCATAAAGTTTTGTGAGGGATTAAATAAATTTTATTTTAAAAGTATTTTATAAACTGGAAAATGTAGTATTTTATTTATATGTAAATGTAGTATTTTTATTTATAATAGCTATTGTTTATAGCCTGTCAGTAAATCTAGCCATTTAAAAAAAAAAAAAAAAAAGACAAATGCTGATTAAATTAAGATCATTTATGGACTAATCTTCTAGTTTTGTGTAGATCTGACTTCTTTTTTTTTTTTCCCCTCTCCTTTCTGGTTAGGTATGAGTGAATGTCCTGATTTTTAGTCTTATTTGAGATATATAGAAACACAGTATATTTGATAATGTTTCCCATTTTTGTACCCTCACCTTAAAGCACGATAGGGCCCAAATAGTGTTTTGGCTACCTATACACTTGAGTTACTTGAATCTGGATCTCCTATTTTAGTCCATTATGAAGATTATTGACTTCATGAACACCCCATGAGATAGCTGACTTGCTTTCTTTAGTGCTTGTTCAGTATATTGTTTTCCTTATTTCCTGTGTAAAACTTTGGCAGTTCTAGATACTTGAATATGAATTTCATTCGCTAAATCAGATTTCCTTCTTGGACACCTCAGCATTACTTCCGGCATAACATGCCTAATATGATTCAATATTTCCCACAGAAATTAATTTCTCCTAACCTTACCTCTGAAAGTAATATCACTAATTTCCAGTTTGTATAGTCTAAAAGCCTTTAGAGTAATTGCTTGTGTTTGTAGTCCACATCTCTTTTTTCTACCACTTTCAGACCCCTGGCCTATGGATACAGTTTAGAGCTGCCATACCTTCATCTAGTGTACTCTGCCACCATCCTACTTTCAGACTTATTTTAATGTTAGTTGCTTAAAGTAACCTTCATTTCCTCAGTTAAATTACTTAGTTTGGTTCACAAGTCATTATACCTCAATTATTCTGGTTCTGTTACTATGTCTGTGTTAGACCTTTCTTTTCTAAAGAATCTTTTTTCTGCTATTTCCTGCCTCTTTTAAATTTTTTGGTGGTGGTTTTTCTGGAGTGCATTTCCCTCTGCCTAACTGAATTCTAGTCATTCTTTTAAAATTGAAAAAATCACTAACCTCTTCTATGAAACCTCCACATTTTTTCATATGATACCCACCTTTACATTTGTGTCCCTTAGTCTATGCTATTAAATTTAGCAGTATGTAAATATTTACTTCGATTACATTTATTTTCCTTGATAAGAAGCTGAGGAATAAATGAACTATATCAGTCTTTTATTCTTAGCAGTTCTGGGGAGGTATACAAAGCTGATGATGTTAGGATCTGTTTATGTTGACATTTGGACTTGTACAAATTTGAAGTGTACTAATTAAAGCTTTTACAAAATTTTTCTAGTATTTTTTTTGCTACTATTTTAATTTCTTTTTAAAAAAAATATATTTTATTGATTTTATACAGAGAGGAAGGGAGAGAGATAGTTAGAAACATCGATGAGAGAGAGTCATCGATCAGCTGCCTCTTGCACACCCCCTACTGGGGATGTGCCCACAACAAAGGTACATGCCCTTGACCGGAATCGAACCTGGGACCTTTCAGTCCCCAAGGCGATGCTCTATCCATTGAGCCAAACCAGTTTCGGCTGTTTTAATTTCTTTAGCATGTTTTATATAGCTTTAGGATAAAAGGGGGACATTCTTGGAAATTATAGTATAAGTTATTAATATAGTTACCACTAATTTAATTTATGAAAAATCAGTAATGGCAGTGCGCTATTTATGGAGGAAATTACCTGTAAAGAATATTTTCTGGAAAGCAGTTATTTCTAAAATATAACTTTCAGTCAACTTCAGTGAACTTGTTTAAAGAGTAGCATTTTAGTTTTGTTTTCTCTGCCTAGTTCATAATGATTTTTGCTGCAGAGGTCAGTGATTCAGAGAAGTCTTAGGAAAAATAGAAGATTGTTCATCATCAAATATTACTAAAACAATTTTTTTTTTTTATTGTGGGCAAGGAAAATCTCAATACTAGTATCCACCCAGTATCTTCTGTCATTTTTAAAGCAAATAAATACATAAATATAAAACTTTATTTCTTTCTTGTAAATAACATTGAGTAAATGCTTTAATGATTCTTCTTCTAAATTTCCATTTTTGTGAGAGGACTAATAGAGAGGGAATTTAAAACCTGATTGATACAGCTAAATATTAAGATATTGCAATAGCTATTAAATAGGTATTATTTTAGTAGAGAGATCAGTCAGATGATGTTTGAGTGTTTCTGCTTACCTTAGGGAGATTTATGAAGAATAAAGGCATCCGCGTATACCATCCTGGTTAGTTTTTTAAAAAGATTTATCTCCTTTAAACTTATAAATTCTTTATACACACACACACACACACACACACACACACTCTGAGGGGCCAGATTATTATGATTTCTGAATGCATAATAATCTGGCCTCTCAGTATATATATATTAGAAGCATGATGCATGAATTTGTGCATGGGTGGGATTCAGCCATCCTGGTCAGGGGGAGGGGGCATGGGCAGTTGGCCGACCTGCCTGCTGGTTGAACTCCTGGTTGAGGGGACAATTTGCATGTTAACCTTTTATTATATAGGATATACACTGAGTGGCCAGATTATTATGATCTTTGAACTCATATATCCAATATAATAAAAAAGATACCTGTAAATTGACCGTACCTCTGCTATGCTCACTAGCTAATCAGGAGTGAGTATGCACATTGACCCAACAAAGATGGTGGGTTGGTTTGCATACACAGGTGCTGAGTGACCTGTGTCCCAGAACATCCTTGGGACCCATGCCACTCCTACTCTGTAAGCCTGCATGTCGGCCCTGAGTGGCTGAGGTCCCAGAACGCCTCTGGCCAGCCCAGGCACCAAGCAGATATTCCCGCCCCACGGCCACGTGCACCAGCGCAAAGCCTGCCCACAATGCAGGGGGCACGGGGGCCGTGCCCCCAGGGTAGTGGAGACACGCCCTAGCCCAGTGGACACAACGCAGGGGGTCCTCTGCGCATGAACTGCAGAGGAAACAACTTTTCTTTTTTTAAAAAAAATATATTATTGATTTTTTTACAGAGAAGAGGGGAGAGGGATAGACAGTTGGAAACATCGATGAAAGAGAAACATCATTCAGCTGCCTCATGCTGCACACTCCCCACTGGGGATGTGCCTCTAACCAAAATCAAACCTGGGACCCTACAGTCTGTAGGCCGACACTCTATCCACTGAGCCAAACCAGTTTGAGCCTAAACACCTTTTCTGACCTCTCATTAGCAAAGCTCCCTATGCTGCCACTTACAGTGTTCTTGGTTGGTAATGGGTTATAAAAATCCAAGAAGGTGATTTAGGGTTTTTTCACTGCACTCCTGGAAGAAAAAATGAAGGTCTGCTGCTGGAGGGGCTAAGAAATGTCATAACCTACCTTAGCCAGTTTTGCTCAGTGGATAGAGCCTTGGACTGCCGACCGCCGGGTCCAGGTTTGATTCTGATCAAGGGCAGGTACCTAGGTTACAGGCTCCTTCCTGGTGGGGCCCAGGTCAGGGCTGATGCAGGAGGCAACGAATCAAAGTGTCCCTCTCACATTGATGTTTTTCTCTGTCTCTTCCTTTCTTTTCCACACTCTCTAAAAATCAATGGGAACATATCCTCAGGTGAGGATCGAGAAAAAAGAAAAAAAAAAAAAAAAGAAAAAAAAAAGAAATGTTATGTCCTATGAAAGACACATCTTGAAAATGCCTAAAGAAAATTGTCAGTTTTTTCATGGTGAAGGGACTAGAGTCTGTGTTGATGAAAACACCTTGGTGGCAGCAGTGGGGTGGTGGGGCTGTCACCTTCCCTGTTCAGTCCAGCTGCTCCCGCAGAGGGAAGCCAGAATGCAGCTTAGCTCGCTCCCCTAAGCCGTCAGTAGGACATCCCCTGAGGGCTCCCAGTCTGTGAAAAGAGGGCAGGCTGGGCTGAGTGGACTCCCTTTCCCCCAGTGCACAAATTTCATGTACTGGGCCCCTAGTATATATGTATGTGTATATACACACACACACACTCATAAAAGGGTAATATGCTAATTAGACCAGGAGACCTTCTGGACGTTATTTCAGACAAAACCATAGTGGCGGGGCCAAGGTAGAGGCGGTTAAGGGTGATTAGGCCAGGAGGGGAGGGCAGTTGGGACGATCAGGTCAGAGGGGAGTTATAGTTGGGGGCAAGCAGGCCAGCAGGGGGGCCATTTGGGGGCGAGCAGGCTGACATGCGTGGGGCAGTTGGTGATCAGGCTGGCAGGGGTAGCAGTAAGCGACGAGCAGGCTGGTGGGCGTGGCAGTTGGGGGCAGTTGGTGGCGATCAGGCAGGCAGGCAGGTGAGCGGTTAGGAGCCAGCAGTCCTAGATTGCGAGAGGGTGCAGGGTGGGCTGAGGGACCCCCTCCCCTCCTTTCCCAGCCTTGTGCATGAATTTTGTGCACCAGGCCACTAGTGTGTGTGTGTGTGTGTGTGTATACATGTATATATATATTGTAAGTTACAGTATTCTGCAGTTTTGTTTTATTTAGAAGCTAGCATTCATAAATAATAGGCATAGTGATGAGTTACATAAACTTTGTGATGTTCCCTAATCTATTTCATAATAAAAGATTATAATGTAGTGTCCAGATTGCTACTTCTCTGGTATCCAGATATTTACATTTTAGTAGCTAGAGAGTAGGCTTTTTTTTACTCATTGATACATTCTTATGTATATACACTGAATAGCCAGGTTATTATGATCTCTGAACGCATACTAATGATCTCTGAACGCATAATAATCTGTCCACTCAGTGTGTGTGTGTGTGTGTGTGTGTGTGTATGTGTGTGTGTGTTTGTGTGTATTAGAGGCCCAGTGCATGAATTCGTACATGGGTGGGGTCCAGCCAGCTTGCCTGATGGTCGAATTCCTAGTCGAGGGGACAATTTGCATATTAGCCTTTTATTATATAGGATATACACTGAGTAGCCAGATTATTATTTGTTCAGAGATCATAATGATCTGGCCACTCAGTGTAGTTTTTAAATGTCTTTTTAGATCATGAACTCCTTTAAGACTTGGGAGGATCATGAACTCCTTTAAGACTTCATATATATGGTTCAATGTTTTGTTTTTAGATAGCAGTCACAGACCTGAAGTGATTCCTAGACTCCTTTCCAAGATCCAATAACAAACCACCCCATGGAACTTGCAACCTTTTGCTTTTGAAGGATAAAAAAGTAGTCCAAACACTTTTCTTAACTTGACTTTAGTGTAGAAAAGGTTGTTCACTTGGATTTATCATCATCATTTCAGTTTAATTTAGTGCAAAGTGTTTATTGAATATTTAGAATGTGTGCTGGAACTGTTCTTGGCACTGAAGATATAGCAATGAAACGAGCAAAAAAAAAAAATCTCTACTCTCCTGGGTTGGTTAAGGACATTAGGTATCATCAAGATGAACGTCCTCATTTTATAGAAAAACAAACTGAGGTCTGAAAAGTATTATACTTGAACTTGCCCAGGGTCTTGTAATTAACTAGAGGTCCAGTGCACAAATTCGTACAGCCGGCCTGCCCAGTCAAGCTGGCTGAGGGGAGGGGCCGCAGACGGCTGGCTGGCTGGCTGGCTGGCTGGCCCTACCCCCTGGGCGAACTCCCTGTTGAACCCCCTGTTGAGGGGACAGTTTGCATATTAGCTTTTTATTATATAGGATTATTAGCAAGAATTGGGTAGTTGGAAGAAGGGCAAAGAAGAGAAAGACATGCTTTTTGTTTCAAGGCCCTTGTAGCTAGACAGGGTGATAAACAATATATCATCAGATCATTTTTACTAAATATTTTAATAGCTGTAGGATTAAATTTCATAGAAGGACTTGGGTAAGGAGAAAAAAAATAATTAGGACTTTGTGGAGGTCTTGGCTGCTCGTGTTGAACTTGAGCTGGGTTTAAAAGTATATGGTCAACTCAAAGTAGAAGGAGCAGTGCCAGCAAAGATATGGAGAAAAAAATCAACAAAGTTAATTTCCAAACTGTAAATTGCAAGTGATTTTCAGGGCCAAACAGTTGCAAATTGTTTGAAGAAAACATCCAGTTTTTTCCTGTGCCATGCTGTTATGTACAGATTTTATTTTAGTTAGTAGGAATACTAGCACAGGTATTCAGCAACTAATATTTTCTCAAATATAGTATTGATAGTGTTTTTTCTTGAAGTTTTTATGTTTATTTTTACTTTTTTCCTATAGATATATTAATTTTTTTATTTCATAGTTTATTCATTATTCATTCCCTTCTTTCAAATCAATACATTCAATTCATTGTACTAAATTTTAACAGAAGTGATTTAATGTTATTTTATAACAAAATGGGACTCAGAAAATCATGAATGTCTGATACATTTTTTTCACAAAATTGAATTTTTATTGGTAGGTGTTATCTACATCTACTGGCCTAACAAAAACAGTGTATAATCCAGCTGCTTTGAAGGCTGCACAAAAAACCTTACTTGTTTCCCCCTCTGCAGTTGATAATAATGAAGCACAGAAAAAAAAACAGGTAAGTACAACTATTATTGTACAAAATTTACATGTAGAAAAGCTCTTCTGCATGTATCTGTTTTTTCAGTGCTCATAACAAAATGCAGTTTAAAAGGAGTATGTTGGCTGTCACTGAACTTTTATTTCCCATAGTGTAGCAGTAAATATTAATATTTTTCTTGGAATGATAGGTTCTCCTGATCTTTTAAAACTTGCATACATATTTCATGTGACATAGGAAAAGTTTGCATTTAATTGTTGCCAAGCTTCTGCAGTTACAACCATTTCTGTCCTCTTAAGTCATTTTGTTTCTAATAAACGGTCAGTAGTCTAATGATATTTTTGGTCTCTTCCTCTAGGAGGCACTGAAACTTCAGCAGGATGTAAGGAAAAGAAAACAAGAAATTTTAGAAAAGCACATTGAAACACAGAAGGTAAAATATTAACAACTAGATTTGGCAATATATATTTATAAATGTTACAGCTTTGAGTGAAATTAATCTTACACTACATATATATTACTGAGAAACATAATTATTGTAATTGACATGGTAAAACTAAGATATTATCAGTGATAAAGTATATTATCAATTGATATACTACTATATTGGACATGAAAAGCATACATTGAATTGTGGACTGGAAATTGAAGTAGTTTGAATGGAACTATGGTTATCAAATTTGAAATGAAAATAAGGAGTATTTATCCAAGTATATTGCTGTGTAGTCCTTTATTCAACAGATAGTGAAATGGAATCTTTTTCTCAATATTGAGATGGACCTTTATTTAATTGCTATATCTATTATTTACTTGAAATGTGTCTAGTCCAAGTTGAGATGTGGTATGAGTGTAAAAAAATATTTCACCAGATTTCAAAGTTATAGTGTGAAAAAAAAAGCAAAAAACTCTCAATAATTTTTGTTGCAATGTAATATTTTGAATATTTTTTGTTAAATAGAATATATTATTAAATTAATTTTACCATATCTCTTTCATCGTTTTAAAGTGACTTCTAGAAAGTTAAAAATTACTTCTGTGTGGCTTACAGTATTTCTTTATGTCTCTAGCTTATGACATTACTTTAATGTAAGTTCTTAAATTATATCTAATAATAAAAGTTATAACATTTTCAAATATTGAAAATACAAAAAGTATACATTTTAGTCTGAAATGTCAGTCTTTTATAATTTAAGTTTGGATATGCTTGATAAAGAGAAATCATGGTGCTTTATACCAAAAATTGAAACCATTTTGACTCAGAGAACCTATAATGTTGTATGGCATCTTCTATCCTATAATACCCTGTTTCTCTTCTTGTTTCCTGTCCATGGTGGTGTTACCATTCCTAGGGTAGCTAGGTAGTTTCCTCATGATAAAGAAGTAATTACACTTTTAATTTTCCTAAACCTTATTATATGAAGGGAAAGGAGAATTTTTCCTGTGATTCATTGTAGGTTATAGATTCCTTTTGGATCAGGAATACAGGAGAGGCAGTAATATTAACAAATTGATTAGAAAGTAAAAATTGTTAATACTACTTCAAATAGACAGCTTTTCAGGGATTGAATTGAATTTCTTGTGTTCTAAGAGACAGACCCAAGGAGTAATACTATAGTTCTTCACAAGAGTAAGGCTTAAATTGAGATAGTTAGCATCACCACTCTGGTATATTAGTGGTTATAATCCTTGTTATGAATACATAAACTAAAACTAGTAGATACTTATTTTTATATTTAGTTTACTATGTTTGTTTTGTTAATAATAGGAGGATTAAGTATTTTCTATTTTTCTCTTTTAAAAAATCTGGCAGATGTTGATATCAAAACTGGAGAAAAACAAAGCAATGAAGTCTGAAGATAAAGCAGAAATAATGAAAACTTTAGAGGTTTTGACAAAAAATATTACCAAGTTGAAAGATGAGGTCAAAGCTACTTCTCCTGGACGCTGTCTTCCAAAAAGTATAAAAACCAAGACTCAGGTATTTTTATTTGTGTTGTTTTTCTTTATATATTTTTAAGAAAACATTAAAACACATTGTGTTTTTTTTAATTTTTATTCATTATTATAATTTTTTTTATTGATTAAGGTATTACATGTTTGTCCTCAACCCCCCATTCCAATCTCCCACCCCTCCTCACTCATGCCCTGAACCCCCTATTGTCCTTGACCACTGGTTAGGCTCATATGTATGCACATAAGTACTTTGGTTGATCTCTCCCTTTTATCCCCACCCTCCCTTTGAGGTCCAACAGTCTGACCCATGGCTCCTTATCTCTGGGTCTGTTCTTGTTTATCTGTCTATGTTGTTCACCATTTCCCCTAGATGAGTGAGTTCATCTATACTGGATATACTTATAAGAATCAAAAATTAGACAAACAATAATCATAATGCTCAAAGGCATATGAATCAGTCTGTAGTGAGTTTCTTTCTGGGCCAACAGTTCTTTTGAGACCCAATTTCAATGTCAAACAGTTCCTTATGTATACATGTCAGCAATGATATTTCAGTTCTGGATGGTGGACAAATGGTGGTTATGCAGGTCCAACCCTCTCTGGTTTGGTCCTGGGCAACCTATAGTGATATACAGCTGCTGACTGCTATTATGGCAAGGTGTCATCAGTGTCTTCCATCTCTGGACTGCTTCTCACAAGTCTTCATGGTTGGAATAGTCCTGTCAATTCCTCTCTGTTTCCAGAATCCACAGGGTCTCGGAGTTGTTTTTTGAAAATATACAAACATATTCTCAAAAGTTAATAAAGGAATATTTTCTGTAAATTTGACTTGGGATCCTTTTTCATTTTTTGCCGAAATGATTTTCCTCTGGCTTGTTTTGATACCATGTGTGTTTTTCATGGGTGTCTTGCTGTTAGCACTACAATTAATTAAAAAGTACAAATTTTTTAGATGTAATTTACTTACAGGATATTTTTCCTTACATGATATTCTTCTACTTTGCCCCTTTTTTGATTTAAATATTAGGAGGCTTTTGAAAATTTTATAATGTAGTCTTGATAGCTTTTAAATTTTAATTTTTTACACTATAATATGACTGCTTTAGGTTCATTTCCTGTTGAGATTTTATCCTGAGATGAACTACCAATAAAAATTTTAGTTAACTCTTTAGGAACAGCTTTTTTGTCCAGTGCAATTAGTTTTTCTAGGATATTTGCTTTTTTCAATTAGCCAATTTAAATTAGCCTGAAAACTTGTATACTGTTTTACTGTCAAATTTATTACTCTAAAACAATTTTATTTTACCATGTGAATATTAGGGGAAAGGATTATTTGCCTTCTTGAGTAGACCCTGGAGCATTCTTGGTGGAAGGCTGGATTTAGATATTAAAAACCCACTTCCCCAAATCATGTTTACAAGACAATTCAAACATGTCTTGTTGTAGTGCAAGGGCAGCTGCTGTCAGCCAAGTCTCTCTTTTACCCGGGTCCCAATTTGAGCTGGGCATGGGAAGTTAAGCAGCCATGGGGCAGGAGAATCCTTCAGCAGGAGTGAGGTTTCATGTCCTTGCAAAGTTGAGGGGGTGAGGGTCTGTGCCCCACCTCAGACCCTCACCCTCAAGTGTGCTAAAGATAAGTTGATGTAGTTACGGTAGTTAATTTGAAATAATTTGAAATCCCCAAGTTCTCTCCTGATGGTCCCTCTTCGACTGTGCCTGTCTTAGGTTGTTCCTTCCCTGAGTAATCTTACTCGTCACTGGCTAACCAGCCATCCTCTGGGGCCAAGTAGGATAATGTGAGGTTCAGTTCTGTCTTCTTGGTATCCTATGCCTCTGTGGCCTCCGTGTCCAGCTCCTGCCTTAGAATCCCCTCGCCTGCTGGCGGGGGCCCAGCACTGATTACGTACCCAGGTTTCTTCTTCAGGGAGTGCCCAGCTCGCCCCACTGGGTGAGAGAGAGATCCATGGTACCAGTCATCACGAGTCTTCAACCTCGACATGAACAGAAAGCTCAGGCAGCAGCTGTGGGCAATTGGATTATGAGAAGAATGTCTCTCTTGGCCAAAAGAGCAAGAGGGGCCAATATAGAATGCTCAGGTGTCTTCCCAGGAGGCCCTCTACATAATGGAAGGGAATAAATCTTTTCATGTCCTTTTTAAATTGCAGCCAGACATTCAAAGAGTTAATTTGTAAGTTTGCTTGGGATAATTGTATATTATGCTGTTGTAATTTTAGAATATCAAGAGATGTGTTACCTTTGTCTCCAAGCACCAAAAAGGTGATTTTTTATTGATCCCCAAGGGTTCAAGATACTATTATAAGTAATTGGGGTAACACAAATCTGGGAAAAATTTTAATGACATTTTAGAATAATATCATGTAAGGATATTCTTTGTACTAGGCCATGGCAATTCCATTTCATACTGGCTGTCCATTTCTTTTTATATGGACCAGGTCTTTGTTACATTTTCTGCACCTCTCCCAAGGGCTAGTAGTGATAGTAGTGATATCCTTTCTTTGGTGTCCACACAAGCCAAACACCGCTCTTCAATTTTACACACAAAGGGGCAGTGTTTTGATTTTGTCTCATACAAAAGGGAAGCTGGGTGGAGACCCCTGTGTAATTATACTTTCTTGCCCCTCCCATGATCCTGCTGGATGACCAAGGTGTTTGGTATTATTGGTGATTACATTAGGTGGGGGATCAGAAAACACATTGTTTAAAGGTTCATTTTCCTTGTAGGTTATATCCTTTGCTCAAAAATCTGACCATAGTATGCTACGATTCTCCTCTTTCTCCATTAATTAATAAGTAAATAAACACAAGCAAACTGTACTAATATTTTTGAATTCTGTGGATTACAGTGGGAAAGTTAATAATTAGGAAAATAGTTATGGATAATCCTGAAAAGGTAACCTGAAGACAAAATGATAATAGGTACTTAAATGCTTGACTGAGAAGTTTGAACTTTATTTTGTAAGGTGTTTGTGTTATAAAATATTAACGAACAGAGAAATAACATTCTGACCGCACTCTACAGAATGTATTTATTGAACCAGGTTATTAGATAACAAATAAGTGAGCAAGTTAATTTCAGATGATAATAAGTGCTTAAGAAAATTGTTTTAAAATAGTGTTTTATACAATATTTATATTTGGTATGTGTGTACATGTATAAAATCATTAGTTCCTATTGAAATTTCTGATTCTAATCCAACATAATGGGGTTCTTCCTTTCTTCATTTCCTTATTTTTTCTTCCTTTTCCCATAATGACAACTTGTTTTCCACTAAAGTCAACACCACACTCACTTGCTTAGTCCTGTAATACATTCCAAATAGTCTCAGAATTATTACAACAGTACCACTTCCAACAACTAACTAAATCTAAAATTTAGAATTTATTTATATTCTTTATAACTTCACAATACATTCCACTAAAGGTATAAAATCAGAACTGTGGTGTAGTATTACTTTTTCTTTTTGCGTGGTTCTATTATTAATTTGATAAAGTTGGGTGTATTTCTGATGTATTCAGTTTGGATCCCCCTCATTTTTGCTGATTTAATTTTTTGAATATGTGAAACATTAACATGACTCAAAAATTAAACTATGAAAAGGTATATATAGAAGGTTTTCCCCATTGATTCCTAACACTATTCCCTACTCTTTTCTCCTTGGGGTGTGTGTGTGTGTGTGTGTGTGTGTGTATGGGTTCTTTCCTACATGAAAGCATACTATATATTGCTTGTTAATACCTTGATATTTTGCTTTTCTTTCAGTTATTTCCTGAAAATTACTTAATATTAGTCCATTAAAATCCCAGGGTTATTTATGGAAAGTGAATTATAAGGAAATTATTGGAAATAGGAACAAGTTAGAAAGCTGGCAGTATTGTAGACTAGAAGTGATTGATGGCTTGAACTAGGTTGGTAAGACTGATGATAGAAAAGAAATGTACAGATTAAATGGGAATGTATACAAGTTCTTTGTAAAATGTTTTGTTTAAATGCAGAATGTTAATTGTCACCCAGAATATTAATTATTATTTTCTAGATGCAGAAAGAATTACTTGACACAGAGCTGGATTTGTATAAGAAGATGCAAGCTGGAGAAGAAGTCACTGAACTTAGGAGAAAGTATACAGAGTTACAGCTGGAAGTATGTTTCATCATAGCTACACAGTGTGCTAAAGAGAAGATGTAGTTACGGTGGTTAATTTGAAAACACAATTTCCTCATTCTAGTCAACAATTGTGGGTTTTCTTTGGCATACCTATTGGGAATTGATATTAGAAAGAGGGAAAAGGTTAACAAAATTTTCAGAGCTAGTTGAGAAATCTGTTACATGATAAGTGAGGGGTAGCAACAGTTCTATCTACGTACCTTCCACTTCTATTGAATTTTATTACTTTTCTATTTTTGATTTTCAGGCATTCTTTCAGAGATAGCCTATGCATAAATAGATTTATAATATTAAGTTCTATACAGAGTAAACTTCTAGTGATCGAACTATATTAAAGAACATGCTTACTTAAGTTTTGCCTATAGATGGTGCTGTGGATGTTTATAAAAGAGAAAGTAAACTACTTTCTTAATAGTCATATGATTATATGATGAAAATCAAGTGAAATTGATTTCTGTGTATGAGAATTTTTAACATTTAGCAAAATGATGTTTAAAAATCAGAATTACATTTTAAGTATGGAGACATTAATGTCATTAATTGGTACTTGTCTATATTATTGTTTAATGTCACAATTTAATTTTATGTTTTTGATGATTACTTTTGGTCAAATAATACTTTTTTCCCAAATTTGTTAGCAATTTGATCATCTTTTTCTGACACAGTACAAATCTGTGTTGAGTACTGGCAACCAGGTATTAAAGACTTAATATTTAGCAACTACTGTGTTTATTTTAAGGTGCTGTCTTATCTAACAGTCATAAGAAGCCATAAGATGATGTCTTAAACTTGCACACTTTTCATTCTGTGGAAACTTGATATGGTTACCTGTGTGACCTGCCCAAAGTAACAGGTTTTGGAGAAGATAGATTTCTGTATGTTAATATAGAAATTTTTGTGTTTTCTCCATTCTAGAGCTTGATGCCTGTATTGATGGGATTTTAAAAACCAAATTATCATTTAATAGTTTAACACATTCAATAATTTCAAAACATTGCTTAAATTAATGTTATTTTGTTTTCTAAATTTATTAGCTACATAAATTTGCTTTCACTTTAAAAACTAAAATCTCAACTTAAAATTATGAGATCTTTTCTTAGGGCATTATTTGAATAAGTTATCAAATTGTATAAAAGTTTGACTCACCTGACAAAGTATAACGCGTGGCTTGTGTTAGTTATTGTGATCTTTAACTTGTGTGTTTGATTGCCTCTAGGCTGCCAAACGAGGGATTCTTTCATCTGGTCGGGGCAGAGGAGTTCATTCAAGAGGTCGAGGTGCAGCTCACGGCAGAGTCAGGGGTCGGGGTCGAGTTCGAGGTCGAGGTCGAGGTCGAGGTGTACCTGGTCATGCTGTGGTGGATCACCGTCCCAGGGCATTGGAGATTTCTGCATTTACAGAGAGTGATAGAGAAGATCTTCTTCCTCATTTTGCGGTATTTTCTTACTGAGCAACAAAACAAATATTGATAATCATTGTTGGGGATTAATAGATATATTAAAGGGGAAATTATGAAAATGACATGAGTAATTTAAACCCAATAATTTGACCAAAGAGTTTGATTACTTTATAATTGTCTTATTAATTATTTAAAAAAGAAGCTGTAGGTGTTTTTTGTTTAATTATTCTTAGTCTTAGTGAACCTTGAAAGTATTGTGATTTAAAGTATTGCTCTAGAGAGGAAAGTCCTGTAGTTTACTTTTATTTAGTACTTTTAAGGAAAAATTTATCATGTTGCATGAGTCACCCAGATTTTTAAAATTAAGATGGAATTTTATTTGTTTAAGTTTTTTTTTTTTTTTTTTTTTAAATATATTTTATTGATTTTGTACAGAGTGGAAGGGAGAGAGATAGAGAGTTAGAAACATCGATGAGAGAGAGTCATCGATCAGCTGCTCTTGCACACCCCCTACTGGGGATGTGCCTGCAACCAAGGTACATGCCCTTGACCGGAATCGAACACGGGACCTTTCAGTTCCCAAGCTGACGCTCTATCCATTGAGCCAAACCGGTTTCGGCGAATTTTATTTGTTAATACTGGTTCTAGATCTAGCCAACCTAAAAAGGAAACTGCTACTGGTTGCAGTGGATAAAAATTATAGCTTAAAACTTATAAGCACTTTTTTGGGGGGAAGTGTTATTCTGAGTGCCTTATATAAGTCACTATCTTTTGAATTATCTTGACAACTCTAAGAGGTAGGTATCTTTATTGTACCTCATTTTAGAGATGAGGAAAATGAAGCATGAAGAAATTAAATAACTTAATCAAATTTACACAGCTTTTAACTGACAGAGCTTGGATCTGACTGATTGTAAAGTTCATTCTCTTTACTATACAGAGTTTTTCTGTATGGTGGTGTATGCATTTAATGAAAGCGTGTTTATAATTTTATTTTTATGTAAGAAATAAGGAAGGCATTAGTAATGATATATAAAGGACTAGAATTTTTTTTAAAATCCTTACCTAAGAATATTTTTTCCATTGATTTTTAGAGAGAATAGAAGGGAGATAGAGGAAAGAGGAAAAGAGAGAAAGGGGGAGAGAGGGAAACAGAAACGTCAATGTGTGAGAGAGAGACATATCAATTGGTTGTCTCCCTCATATGCCCCAACTAGGGCTGGGGATTGAACCTGCAACCCAGGTATGTGTCCTTGACCTTGAGTTAAGCCTGTGACCTTCAGTGCATGGGCCAACACTTTAATCACTGAGCAACACCAGCCAGACCATGGACTAGAATTTTATATGATAAAAGTTGCTGTTTATTGGAAAATCTTCCTTCACATGTGAAAAATAAAACCCAGCATATGAAACAAGCATAATTTCATATGTTTAGCTTTTAAATGCCTGAAAAGATAGTATGTGGGTCCACAGGAATCAAAGTAAGAGTGAAAGCAGGATCAAAAGAGTTGCACACTTATCCTAGTAATTAACTTAATTATTTTTTGGGGGGGATTACTTAACTTCTCTTAGTCTTTTTCATCCCATTTTTAAATTGGGTGAAACTAAAAACAAACGAACACTAAGAATATTCTGAGGATTAAATATTCTGCTTTAGAAAGAATTTAGCATATTCTGGGATGAAAATAAGTATGAAAAAGAATAAGAAAGCTCAGTTTTGGTCATTGTTTCCTTTATTTAAAGAATAGTCAATGACTATTTAGAAAATCTAAAATTATAGATTGTATTTGGAAGATAGGACGACTCTCTATCTTACAATATTAAGTACAAAAATGAATTATTTATCATTTTTTTCTGTTACCATGAATTGTTTTGTATTCTGGGTTATATTTTGATATTGTAACATTTTATATAATCACTAGGATTTTAGATATTTCAAAATATTTATTCGGAGGAAATACTTGTTTTTAATTTAAAGCAATATGGTGAAATTGAAGATTGTCAGATTGACGACTCTTCACTTCATGCAATAATTACATTCAAGACAAGAGCAGAAGCTGAAGCAGTAAGTATTATAAATGATCTGATTTACAAAAGATTCAGATTTAAATATTTTATAAATCTTGCTTTTAAGTTTTAATATAAATGAATTTTTAAAACTTTCTACGTAACTACACTCTGGCAATAGATAGAATATATCAGTAGAATTCAAGGCCACAAAAATTGTCATCTATCTATATCTATCTACCTATCTATCTATATATAAAGGCTAATATGCAAAGTGTCTCCTTGAGAGTTCAACCTGGAGACTGGGAGTTTGATTACTTGCTACGACGTGTGCTGACCACCAGGAGGTGGCGCAGAATGAAGGAAGGCTCCAGATGGCAGCCAGAATGTCCTGATCGCTGGCCAGGCCTAGGGTCCCTACCTGTGCATAAATTATAATACATGCACCAGGCATCTAGTATAAAACATGTTATAATTAGAATGTATAGTCACCAAGTTGGATGTCAAGTTATATTCTTTTGAGACATCACGAATTGTGTTTCTTTTCTCTTTCACTTCACTTTTCCTCAGATGGCCTCAGATGGCAAAGTCTTCTTTGGCAGACTGAAATATAATTCTCATGGCTGCCTGTCTTAATCATCCTTCATCTGCTGCTTCCTAGTACCTTTTGACTGAACCCTAAAGAAGTTTCCATAATCAGTATATGCCCAACTAGACTCCTGCAACTTTTTGCCCAAGACATGATGTAAAGTTTTAGCTTTTAGGGTCCTTTTAGTACAGTTGTCATAGACTATTTTGAAGACTTTCCACTGAATGACCAGAAGTCTATGCAACCTTGTCTTTTTTATGGGTTTAAAAGCTTAAAACAGAAAAATGGGTATGAGATGTGGGGGATTTATAGGAACCTTGTGTGTTCTTTGTTCAGACTTGAGAGAAATAGATGCACTATTTTTCCTTAGCAAAAATGCTTTAAATGTTCTAAACAGTTAATTTAATGTGAATGAATTTTTTGGATAGTTTACAGAAGTTTTTTTTTTTTTTTTTTTTTTTTTTTAAAATCAATCTTTATTGTTCATATTATTACAAAGGTTCCTCATTTCTTCCCCCCTCCACCAGGTTCCCACCCCACCTTCTGCCCCCTCCCCATCCCCCATTGTCCTCATCCATAGGTGCAGTTTATGTTCAGTCTCTTCTTCCCTCAATTTCCCCAATAGTAAATCCCTTTTCAGATAGTAAATCAGTTACTTAGCATTTTCTCATATCAATAATACCTCCACATGCCCAATGATACACTTCACACAAAAGACATTTCCCAATAGGTCCACCAGCCTCATCCAGGCCCCACCCAAGGCACTCACAGATCAACACCCCAGTCCTAAACTAACTCAACACATCCAGATCTAAGCCTTCATCACTTGATTTAGCAGACCCTCAAGTTCCCACGAAAGTTTCCAGCCATGTCTGAGAAGCAGCCGTGGGGCAGGGGCAGGCAAGGAGTGAGCTGTTCTGGGCCTGGCTGCTCAGGGCCTGGCCTCTGTTGCTCTAGTTCATTCCACAACCAGCTGCTCCGGGTCTGGTCACTGCTGCTCCCGACCTAGTTGCTCTGGACCTGGCTGCTGCTGCTCCGGGCCTGGCCGCTCCCAGCCTGGCAGCCGCTGCTCCGGGTCTGGCCGCACCCGACCCGGCTGCTCCCCCGGGCCTGGCCGCTCCCAGCCTGGCAGCCGCTGCTCTGGGCCTGGCCGCACCAGCCCCGCCGGCTCCCCCGGGCCTGGCCGCTCCCAGCCTGGCAGCCGCTGCTCCGGGCCTGGCCGCACCAGCCCCGCCGGCTCCCCCGGGCCTGGCCGCTCCCAGCCTGGTAGCCGCTGCTCCGGGCCTGGCCGCACCTGACCCGCCTGCTCCCCCGGGCCTGGCCGCTCCCAGCCTGGCAGCCGCTGCTCCGGGCCTGGCCGCACCCGACCCGCCTGCTCCACCGGGCCTGGCCGCTCCCAGCCTGGCAGCCGCTGCTCTGGGCCTGGCCGCACCAGCCCCGCCGGCCCCCCCGGGCCTGGCCGCTCCCAGCCTGGCAGCCGCTGCTCCGGGCCTGGCCGCACCCGACCCGCCTGCTCCCCCGGGCCTGGCCGCTCCCAGCCTGGCAGCCGCTGCTCCGGGCCTGGCCGCACCCGACCCGCCTGCTCCCCCGGGCCTGGCCGCTCCCAGCCTGGCAGCCGCTGCTCCGGGCCTGGCCGCACCCGACCCGCCTGCTCCCCCGGGCCTGGCCGCTCCCAGCCTGGCAGCCGCTGCTCCGGGCCTGGCCGCACCCGACCCGCCTGCTCCCCCGGGCCTGGCCGCTCCCAGCCTGGCAGCCGCTGCTCCGGGCCTGGCCGCACCCGACCCGCCTGCTCCCCCGGGCCTGGCCGCTCCCAGCCTGGTAGCCGCTGCTCCGGGCCTGGCCGCACCCGACCCGCCTGCTCCCCCGGGCCTGGCCGCTCCCAGCCTGGCAGCCGCTACTCCGGGCCTGGCCGCACCTGACCCAGCTGCTCTGGGCCCGGCTGCCCCGGGCCCGGCCGCTCCGAGCCTGGCCACTCCCGACCTGGATGCTCTGGGCTTGGCTACTGCTGTTCTGGGTCTGGCTGCTCCCGGCCCGGCTTCTCCGGGCCCGGCCACTCCGGGTCTGGGTGTTCCTGGACTGGCCACCCTGGGCTTGGCCGCCTCCGCCTCATGCCTGGCTGCCTCTGCCCCAGGTCTGGCTACTCCAGTGCTGGCTGTTGATGCTCTGGTTCTGGCTGCTGTTGTTCTGGGGCCTGGCCGTTGCTGCTCCGGGTCTGGCTGCCACTGCCTTGTGCCTGGCCACTCTAGGCCTGGCCGCCGCTGTTCCAACATTCTATCCTTTTTTTTTCTTTTTAAAATGCATTTATGTTGCAATGTTGGCTGGTGAGTTGAGTTCTGACTTAGTCTTTGATTTTTCAAGATCTTCTTTGTATTCTTTCTTAAGTAATTTTACTATTTTTTGCTCTCACTTGATTTCTTCACATTGAGAACTTCTTTGGTTTCTTCCTCCTTGTTCTGGGAGCTCAGCAGGTTGGCCTGTGGCACCCCTTTGTTCTCCGCGGGCTCCTGTGCTGCTTCAGCCTGTTGCTGGGACGGCGCCGCCCAGGAAGCAGCCCCTGGCTTTGGCTCCATTGCCCGAGCTCAGTGGTCAAAGGCTCAGGGGCACCCACGCCCCCAGGGGCCCCGTGGCCCGCCTCCTTGCTGGTGCCTGGTTGGCTGGAGTCCGGCAGGGGCTTCCGCTCCCCTCCGCGTTCCCCCAGCCCGGAGCTTTTTTTTTTTCTCCTTCCCGCTAGAGAAGTCCAGCATCAGAGTCAACAGACTGTCCTCTGCGCGCAGTTTGCGCGAGTCCCGGGGGCCCGGCCTTTCGCCGCTCTCCCTGGACTCCACCTCACAGCCCCGTCTCCCTCTGCCTGAGCCTGGGTCCCCAGGGATTAGCCCAGAACTGGGGTTCGGAGCAGTCCGGACTGAGGCTCAGCGCCGCCGGAGGCCTTGTTTCTTCCGGCTAGGGTAACCCAGCATCAGAGTCAACATTCAGTCCTCTGCGCGCATTGCGCGCGACTCCGGGGGCCCTGCTTTTCGCCGCTTTTCCGCCTCACGGCCCCGTCTCCTCCCACCGGAGCCTGGGTCCCCAGGGTCTGGCCCATAACTGGGGCTCAGCGCTGCCGGTTCCGGGGTTCAGCCCAGGCTGGGGTTTTATTTCCTTCCTGCTAGGGAAGGAAAGGCGGCTCCCCGCCCTCTCCTCCTCTCCGGCTGCGACCTCTCCGTGTGCGCGTGCGGGCGGGCACGCAGCATGTCTCCGTACCTTAGGCTTTTTTTCAGCTCCTCTGATTTTCTTTCTGGTTTTCTCTTTCCTTCTTGTTGTAGAAATTTCAGTCAGTCGACTACCTGTAGCTCTGGGCAATGTCCACTCTACATTTTAGTTGTATTCCATTGAAATTGTTGTGTGCTGCCGCGGCTAGATGTCTACCCGAGCAGCCATCTTGGATCCTCCTCAGTTTACAGAAGTTTTAAGTTGAGTGTGGTCTAAAAAGTTGTGAAATAGCTTCTAAATATTGATTTATTATTTTTGTAGTAAATATTTCCTGCCAGCAAAATGGTACATTGTTGGGGCTTACCTGATAGGGGTTGTTCTTGGGGCATTGTACCCAATAACAGACTGTGGGTCTGATAAGTAGCAAAAAAATATTCAGCGGAGCCCTGCAATAACCTAGTTTCTATGTTAATGGGTTGGGGATTCCTTATCATAGAATTTTTATAAAATTAGTTTTGAGCAATCTTTTATTTAATGATTTTTCATTAAATAATGGCTTTAGTGATAATTTTTGATGTCATGTTAGGTAGGTAGCTGAGTACTATTTGCTTTTGAAGAAGTAGTCACAGGTAGTTATTGTACAAATGATTACAATACTGTATTAGGAAGTTTGTGGATTTAATAACAATTTTAAAAAATACGTACCACTTTTTTCTGCTTATTTATGTGGCTGACTGGGGAAAAAGACCTAAATTTTAGAAGTTTTGCACTTGCTAAGACTTTTGACATCTGACTTCTTTCTTGAGTCTTGATTTTTCTATCTCGGGGGTGTGTGTGTGTGTGTGTGTGTATGTAGGTGTGTATCCCCTCCCCCAAAATGTATAGTAGTGAATTCAAAAGATTAGGGATTAATGTATAAGAAAGACTTTAGCACTGAATAAGTGACAAAATTTCTTAGGTCAAGTTAGATGTAATGAGAACTACCTTTTCAGGGTAAATACTGTTGCTGTGATAAACATTTAGAATTAAGATATAGAAGTTGTTAAACCATAGACTATTTCTTAAGCCATAAAATTTCTTTAAATTTTGTAACATTCTATTTTAGAAGACACTTGAAAATTAAGTTGTGAAGTTTTATCTTATACAGGCAGAGTATAGGATAAAGCATCTGGATTTCAGTAAACATTAGGCTTAGTAATTTAAAAATTAGTGTGTTTGACATAAAGATGTTAATTTTTAATTTTGTCAAGGAAGAATGCTTAAAATGTACAAAAGATTGT